TTTTTCTTTTCTTCATTTTATAAAGGCGGGTTGATAAGGACATGAAATTCAACTTTGAGTGAGAGCCTTCTATTCATTCTTTTTTCATACTCACTAGAATGGTCTCTAGCCCACTGCTGACAGCACGACGCTGACAATAAGTTTAGTAGAATACGAGCGAAAAATAGGAGTGATCGTTTTCATCGAACCGTTGACGAGTTGTTCATTGCAATCTAAACACTAAACCAATCTCAAAATGAATACAGTTTATGACTCTAATCTTCTCTAAAGAGTGAAATATCGAAGACATTTTCATTCGTTCGGATTGTGGTGCAACCATCCGGAAGAAGTAATATAATTAGTAGTTCAATGAACAAAGTCATGGAATTGTTACAAGTTGTTCTTCGGCCGTTTATGATGCCGTATCTCATCTTTTTCTCGTATTCGTTGGGCTTGCCAAGTACTGAAGGATTTTTTTTGATAGATCGGTTTGTGTTTTTGATGATGATAGCTATGGCACTGTTCGCTCTTACAGGCGCCGAAATACCTTTCGCCTAATCAGATTCTGGATTTAACCATTCATAATATAAGCACAAAAAGTTAATTTCATTCTGCGGCATGTATTGATCCAATTAGCATCGCGACACAACACGCGGGGGAATTTATCTATTCATGAGCAAGGATGGAATGACTAACGTCGAGTAGGGTAGGACAAGCAAGCTCCTACTATGAACGATGAAAAAAGCACTAAAATAAGGAAATGTCTACTCTTCAATGATAAGTACATACTCATTCCGGATAATCAGTGCATGAGATCTACGTGAGATATATTACTACATCGCAAACGGTTGTCGGTAATGGTTTGTCGTGGTAGCACGTAACGCACGTGTGCTTAGATCTCTTCTACCAGTCTCATTTTGGAGGAGAAACACGCCAACTCGATACATCAGTAGCCTCAATAGGCCATCATGTGTTCCAGATATGCATGTAATGACATCCACGATTCTATGAATGAAGTCGAATACACGGCATATCCTTCAGGGTATTAGCCAATGCCGAAGGCCTTATGGTTAGTCCTTTATCGTAGAAACAAGCACTATTGGTTGCACGTTCTCTAAGTTAATTAGTGTTTTAAAAATAAACATAGTCACACTGTTGTATTTGCTGCGAAGAAAAAAGTTAGAATATCTGAATGAGATATCATTATTAGCCTTACTTCATCTCTTTCCCGTTGTGTCATTTCCATTTCTGAGGTGGCTTCACAGTTGTCATTTAATAAACATTTTAAATGAAGGATTATGACAGGCGATTGGAAACAAATTAAGCAAGACTCTTAAGCTCATGCTCAGTGTTTTTTGAACTGCTGCAAAGTAAATTGAAGCCCCAATGCCTGCGGAAAAGCATTAGGCGTCAAATTAACGGTTTCTAAGTGTTTACATTACACATCCATATACTACTGATTTATAAACGCGCGACTTTCACGCTACTTTCTTCGTTATTTCTAATCAACATTTTTTTTATCATGCACTGATCATCAGCAATATACTTACGATATCACTATTTTTTCGATAAGTGGGATACCTGAGAAAATTCTCGAAGATTCCAGATGTGCTTGTTTAAAACTGAGGTGTAAAACTATTTTCGAGCAGCTGTGAGCCATATAGCACATGCCGAATTAAAAGGATGCGCTTTAGACCAGAATTTCTAAGTACACTCTGGCATATTCAGTTGGTCGCAGTTTTTCTACTGATCTCAGCCTTGTGAGTGGTTTCGTGACAATTGCAACACTAAGTGGTAAATTTCCATTACAGGTTAAAAGCGGGCTAGAAATGGCCATCTAGCTTCACGTGAAAGCAAGTGTATCCAAGCGGAAATTGGAAATTCATTGGTGCTTGCTTGAATAACTGGAAGACTGACAAGAGTGCAAATGATATAGGTGAAGGTATTTCTGATTCTTCAGCCTACAGTAAAAGCATGGAGCACGTTCGGAGAGAGGATGAAAGCACGTGGTCGAATCCACGACGATTTCCTCTCTTATTTGTAGGCGACATGGCCGACGCTGCAATTATGTACATAGCGACGTAGTTTCTCGTACATCATTCGCTGTGGCCTGAAATTTTCCCGATGGAACTTAGCGTCTACTCACCAAGCTATTCAAACAAATCTCTTCGTTTTCTTTTCTTATATCGTCAAAAAAAATAATTATGCTGATCCCATCTTTTACAATCTCATATGTTCAGTTCTGGCATGTTGTAAAAGTCTCATAGCAAGCAAACAAGAAGAGTCGAGACACTACTGATTACACGAGAAACACTGCACATTGAACAAGCTTTCTAGTCTACAGCTATGCGCTCGGTTTATTCTTAAATCGCATTTTGCTTAAAAAATATGCTTTTAATTTTTTCGTAGGCTATATTCCTTCTGTTTACTTTTACTCTCCAGTTTTTTATTATTTCTAGCTCACCAAGGTCTCTTCGGCACAGCTCAAATGGTACATTTCCGATCATTATGATTTGTTTTACTTTGTTATACTTTACGTTATTGCTCCCACAGGTGCCAGATAGTCAATTAATCGCAAGACAAGGAGGCCTAAGTGCTTTGTGTAAGGACTAAAGTAATAGTTTTCCCATGTGTTCTGGCTCAGGTGCACCGATGCTTTCTGTATATGCGTGATCATTTTTATGCAGACCTAGGAGATACACTTTCTTGTGTGCAGATTGTATAGTTAGATGGTCGGGAAGAACCCCTTCATCCAAGTGCCTAGAAAGTATGGCAGACGGTTTCTAATCACTTTCAACAAATAGCGATAAAAATTAAAGACCTTATGTGTTAACAATATTCACAACTTATTTTTTTAAACGAGATGTCTCGCAAGATGCATCGAGTGTTAAACAGAGCGTCATTGCTTTTGTCGTCTTCATTAAGATGATCGAGCAGATATTAAGCGATCCACCATTTTCATCTGAACACGAGGTTACTGTTTCTTCAGAGAATATTTTTAGAACTGAAGACTAGGCGCCTAATTCGAATCCAAAGTTGATGGCAGTTGATGTCATACGGCACGTTCGTACTTTATTCCTGGTCAAGTTTTACACATGTTCGACTTATATATTTATTTAAATGTTATTTAAAGGGAAATATTCTTGAATTCTTGTTCTGAAATGTTGACTGTTTCATTAGTTTGAGTGTTCGGTCTCATAAACTATTAGTCGGATTAGGTTCATTACTTATGGTCTCTTTGATTGTGAAACAATATAATAACAGATCTTGCACATGAGTTACCTTTTCATGACAACCTATTCATGGGTGTTTATCATAGGTTATCTATTTCTCTCTTTCTTCCTCCTTCTTCACTCGCTTCATTTCCTTGTTCTTCTTCTAAATTTTATTTTCCTATTATTTGTTTGGTTTTTACTCATTCGTTCATTGACTTGTTCTTTTTCCCTTCTTCTCTTTTGTCTTCCATGTTATTTCCCTAGTTTTAATTCTCATTTCTTCTGCTGAGTCTCTGCTCTCCGTACTATTCAAGTCTGCATTATCTTCACTACACAGCAGGCTTTCAGTGTGTTGATAGAGTGGACGCCTAATAAATGCAGTATTTTTGTAGTCGGTGGTCTCATTCAGTTAGTTTGGATAGGAAGTAGGTAGTAACTATGCATGCAAAACAGTGATATTGCAAATAAAACTCGACTGATAAAGGTCACCTCATTTCGTTCAAAGCATAGCACCCCTGGGTGAACCATTCCAGGCCTCCGGGGTCGGCAATTTAGCATCAGATTTTTCGGAAAGGATGGAAGACAGCGACCTGGTACATTGATAAGCTCCATCAAGTCACTTCATAGCCAACATATATATTCAGTCGGCTCTAAGATGTCCGATAATGTCCAGTGCATGATCCATCCATCAAGAATTGACCAACGCCGAATGATTCATGCTTTTATTCGTAAGAACGCACTAATATACTAGGGTTAATATATGAAATCAGCTATTTGTATATGCACACCATAGGATCAGCCAAATGCGTGAAATCCCTCATTCGACACTTAGTACATTGTCCAAATACTAGAAGAAGGGAAGAGAAAACCTAAATATTGTTTTGTATCAGCACAGAAGTTTTGGAACACAGGTTATTTTTTACGGGCTTTGTTCTCTCTGCATTACTGTTGTATTCGTGTTTTCTCGAAAAGGAATACTACATTCTCCTCTTAAGCTTATTAACAGTATTTTAGCGAGCCTTTTCTCCATTCATAAAATTTCTAATTTAAACACCCGAATTTCGACCACTCGAGAAATCTCCATAACATTCAAATCTTCGCATTCAGATGCGCCAACATACTTGACGTTCTCTTTTCGAGATTAGTATTCACTTGTTTGACGTACCCGACCTACAACCACACTGCGAATCAAAGTCTCGTTCCTCTGGGGAACTCTTAATTCGAGCGAAACAAGCTCGCCAAGATGACAACCAGACAATGTTGGTTGACAGCAATGGCTTGCTCTATAGAAATGAAAAGCAACGAATAGATGTAAAGTTTATGGTCAGAAAAAGACGAATGTTGCACTGAGACATATAATATCAATGCTTCCTCCCATTCAGCTTCCTCATTCGTATCAGTCGTTGGTGGAGCTTTTTCTGAGAAAAATTTTAGCACACTACTTTCTTGCTTTTGTAGGTCGGATATGCTGTTTTCAAAAGTGCAAATTTTAATTTACAGTCTCGATTTATCTCAAAATATGAAACGAAAGCAGTATAGTTCTTTGCACAAATACTTATACTGTGTAAAGTATTGTTCCGTAGTTATTGAGAGTCTTATTAAGACTTTTCATGAGAGTTATCAATGAATTTTGTCACGCACTTATAAGTATGAATGTTTACTTTCCATCCTACTGCAGCACTTATTATATCACAAAGAAGCGAACATACATTGAGAAAAAACCGTCGTACATTTTTTTACAGTGTAGTCCAACTTCATAGAGTTCAGTTAGATTAGAATCTATTCTAGATATGTTAGCGATTCGGAATGCTTTACGATTCTGAAGATTACTCCTTATTTCTTACACCTCGTGTGTGTTACTTTTCGGCTGCAAAAGGTGGAGCGTCGCGACATCTAATGGTAAATGGTAGCAGTCAGAGGTCTGTTCAGTGTTCTTCACGATTGTCATCTACTAGGTGTAGAAGACTTAGTAATACTGAAGAAATGAACAAGTGATAATATAGAAGCTTCTTAGCTAGTTCCGTTTCTGAGCACAGAAAACTGTTATAACGTGATCGAATGAAAAAAATGCAGTGTGCTATTCCTAGCTGTATTTATGTGCCAGTTGTATCGCGAAAGAAAAATTATGTCAACCCAATATCTATTTGTCATATTCAAACCCACAATTGGTATGCATTTTAAATTTTAGGATGGCCATCAAAATTAAATGCAGCAACAATGAGATATTTCGTGTATCGCCTGTATACTGTATGTTGGAGCCAGGAAGTTCGCAACGTCTACAGGTAATTAAGCTATGATTTGCATTAGGAAGATTCTTTCAGAGAAATGATTTGTGTTTGAAATTTTTTCTTGTGCTATTTCAATAGCACCTGTAATCTTTCTTCAGAGTTTTGCAACACTATAAAAGCGATTCGAGGAAATTGTTTTCAAGAAAATGATTTTCAAGAAAATGTAAGGTGCAAAGTGTTCGAGATAAACCGGCTGTGTATTCTTTTATTTATTAAGAACATTGAAAGAAAGAGCAACCTTGAACCGAAAAAAAGTGGACGCCACGGACGATTAGATTTCAAATGGCAGTTGTTTACCGACTGATTTTATTAATTTACTTCAAATGAACTACAATTCTGGAACTCTGTACTAAGCGAAAATACTCACTGATGCAAATTTAGGTTGTTCGTGATCCAGGCGAAGCGAAAACAGATAAAATTGTTCTTCTCTATCGTTACACGACGTTGTCGAATCCTCGAGAAGCTTTCAGAAATCTGACGGAAAATGATGACGGTGGGCGAGTAGCTTGCTTTTCAAAGATGAAAATGTCATTTTTGCTAGAAACAATGCTTTCCTCCTCACATCATCTTTTTCCGAATACCATACGCACTTCGGTTCTGTTTGTTTTCAGACTCTAATTATTTTTTTTTTCATTATAGGCAGGTATAATACATTTCAGCTACTCACAAAAAAGTGGTGGCCTTGGTGGCCCGCGACGACATCGATTTCACAGTAGCGCCGAGGACAAATTTGAAATCTATTCTGAAGTCCTATCCACAATGCTGATGAAGCACATTATGTACCAAACCACAATAAAAGCATTCTGTATTCAAAGCAAAGTTGTAGAAAGAGTAAACCCTAGGAAACAAAACTCAACGGTAGGAGCAATAAAAGCAGATATTTCGCCGTTGGCAACTTTATTGTTTCCTTGGGCAGTATTCATGGATTTATTTTGAAAATCGTCACCAAAAGGAAACAGAGGATGGTTTGGAAGTGGAAACACTTTCTCGGGTCAAGTTTTTAAAAATTTTCTTTTGGAGCTTTTGATTTCTTGGACGAAGATTGCCGACATGAACATATTTTTGTTTTTTTTTCATTTTATATGACCCGTCTTCACGTCTATTGTGCGGATCCCAGCAATTCTCATACTCGATTCGTTTCCTCGCATCCATTATTTGCAAAGATCTTCCAACTTTACGTGCGGCTTCCGTTGCTGCTTGAGGATTTTATTTCAACTTGAATGTTATGGAATGCTGGTCGAGCAATTCTCCCAACCTAGAGTCCTCAGATAGCTGGGCTGGAGCGTTGCCGTTTGGATTGCAGAGAGTGAATTTTTTCCGGACAAACCCGGTCACTACCACTCTGCCATCCGCTCCTATATGAACATATATTTCAATTAAACAGTAGTTGAAGCTAATCGTTATCCTCGTTCGTAATCAAAAGGTTCTCGTAATCACTTCATTCACCTTTCACTAAATGTCATCATATTATGTCTCCACCAGCTATCAGCATTTTGCACGCATTGGTGCTGTTATCTAGAAGCTTCGTACGATTTGGTCGTTAAAGAAGTAATTATAGTAGCATAAACTATAATCATGAGCCATTACGCTGGTAGTAAGTGCACATATCAGGCAACTACACAGTGCAAGTTTCCAAAAACATCTATTTCCAAGGTAGTTTTCGATTAAGGAATTCTGATATTATGCTTGAACTAGTGTGTGGCCACAGAAGTGTGCCATTCACAGAAACAAGGAGTTCTCCCAAGATCAGTTGTTCATTAAAAGATCAGTCGTCAGTTAATTAAAGCAAGCGGTTAATATTTTCATCCAATGGTAATCACTGCTACTGCTTATTAAAGAGACCAAAAATCGCTTCGCGAAAGTAAACCCTTAAGGGTTTTAAGGAGTCCCATCGCACTCCGATCATTGTCACTCGAACAGGATGTCCCTTTGCGAAAGGAAAATTAAAATTCTCGTGTGGCTGAATACCATAGTCCGTGAAGAAAAGTGAGAAAAAAATTATACTCGCAGTGAAACAATGTGGCAGTACAGTGGAAAATAAGGCTCAAGTTCGAGGTGTTCATAGCTTGACCTTTTATCTCTGATGTTTCTCATCTATAATGTTAGGCCAAGTGAGTGGATCATAAAACCAGGAACGACCACAACTGCAAGCCGTCTGAAAAATGTCGACAAGGATGCTGAGATATGAGCAAAACTCGGAGCCTCATTCGAACCCACTGTTACCTTATCGGGAGCTCACGTGTTTTCCACCGCACCAACCGTCCTTTTGCCTATTTGTCGGAAATCTTTCTGTTCTATTTATACTATCAGCAACACCATCAACGGGGATGGTGGAATGGGTCTAGGAGCATAGTTCTCTCTCGAGAAAGGGTAATCACGCATTCCAAGCCCAGCTGAGGTTGGGAATTTTGCTCATTTTTCAGCAACCTAGTGGTTGCATTCCACGTAATACCCTGCCGTGAAAAAAAGGATAGGCTATAAATAAAGGTTAAGACATCTGAAACACGATTTGAGCCATTATCAAGCTGTCGCAAAAATAGCCGTTTTCGTCAGAATGATCTTCACAGATATGTCATGCACTGAACAAACGGCTGCACTCCTGGCGCCGTCTGGAATCACTTGAAGGTCAGCGGGAAGGCATATGATTAACGAAATTTTGCAAAAAAGTAGCCTTTTACTTTGCTGTTGTATATTATTTTCCATTTTTTGTGTATGCTATTGTCAAGACCGCATTCTATTAAACTCGGCATTGATTGGTAATTCTAACATGTCAGTTTAACCTTTCCAAGCTCTGAGGAAAACAAAACCGCCGAAACGTCGGCTATTGTATCCTCATAAATTCCATAATACCAACCTCGGGTCAGCTTATTGTAGAAAACACCGAATTACATGCTTTTGGCTCTTTTTCTCAGAAAGACGTCCGATCTTTCTACTATATTATGGTAATTGGATCTTGTTCGACTGCCGAAGACGTTCAGCGGGCTGGTTGGAACAAGAGAATCTCCTAAACACTTTGAAGGCGGATTGTCTCCAAAAAAAGTGTTAGTACGAATTTTTCAGCCAAGGTAGAGGGAATCATCTAATGTAAATGTCTTCATTCCTGGTGGAACGACAACAATAAGGAAATACTGTCATTAAATCAATAGAATGGGTCAAAAATTACAACGTATATGCAGGAAAGGTCGCACCCTTTTGCACGAAATAATGGACCACAAGCTGAACAATTGCCGCCGCAGAAGATGAAAGGAGTGATCTGCAAAATTCATGCTTGTCCAGTCCACTTTCCAGAAAAGTTTCCAAACGACTACTATATTTTTCCACCCATCACGATAACTAGTTGGTGGAGAGATCATAAACAACCACGTCACCATTTGGAACGCCCTAGAATAATTCGTATAATCCAGTGCTGCAGAATTCTAAAATACAAATGACATGACTCATCAATCGCCTTTGTTTTTTTAAATAAGAGCAGTAATCGAGGTATTTGTTTGAGTAATATTATGTTAGGAAAGGAAAACCTGTACGTGTGGTCGGCGGTTGCATCTCATCCACTACGACCAAGCTTACCATCATTCTGGGTTAGGCAAATTGGTATCATGATGATATGCTAAAGGCGAACTTGATCTAACTTTATCAAATGCTATTCATAAGTGAATCTATTTTAAAACAGAAGCCAATAAAAAATGCCAAAGCTCTGAATTCAGGATTCCGTGTGGCTCGAACTGCTGAAGAACTTCTTCCATAGCGAAAGGCTCCAGTACGTAGGTGGAAATGGTTTCTGTATGAGAAGTTTTCACAGCGGGCTGCACATTTTGAAGGCGGATTCCATGACCAATACTAGTACACTTTGACGACCCTAACTATAAAGGACTAGAATGTGATTATTGGCGATAACTTTTCGATAAATGGAGTAAAAAGATAACTGAAATACATGAGGAGTTGAAAACTTCACTATCTTATAGGAGAGACCTCACCATATCGATCTGGTTATATAAATGCTTCTTCTAAGCTTAAATTGATGGAAAATTTATAGGGGAATTTATATTTATAGGATTCCTTAAGGAACGACGACAGCCACAAGCATTAACACGCATCGGGGGAAACTATTTGTTCTGTTCTTCGAAATGCCATTTGTTTCAGTGTTCAAAATATGAGCCGCAACAAAAATGCGAAAACAAAGGTTTTAATAGAGAATTCTAATAAACTGGATTTCAATTAATAAAGTTGGTTATGAGCAGAAATGTAAAAGAGTACAGGATAAAAGAGTACAGGTGTCAGTGTGATCAACCCCTGAAAGATGTGCCATGCATTCGACTTCATTAAGCGTCATTAGAGATGACTGGATGCATATCTGGCCTATAAAATGGCTCATGGCTCTGTACTCATGTATGGAGTCAGTGCTGCTATCCTTGCAGACGGATCTGATACCAAATTGCCGATCCCAGATAGATGGAGGGCTTAGTGAGCGTTGGGTTCGGGGTCGACCCGTGTGTATTGCAGGGCGCCTCTTACTCCTGCGCTACTTTCACCTTTAATGAAAGTAGTATGATACAGAAAAGCGAAGAAGCCTCCCTCCAATGTTTTTCGCAATGTTGTTGTTGATGGTTTCACTGATAAAAAATTTCGGATTCAATTCTTCATCGATTCCAACATTTTTCGGCACTACAACGCTACTGAGACCTTTCTTCTCAATACGAATTCGCGAGTTCGTTCTCCATCGCATACACCTGCGGTCCGGAGTTTTGCAAATATCTCAGCATTATATAAGAGTTATATTTCGCAAACAAACCCTGCCATTAAAAAGAAAAAGGCAGTAAATAAAAGAGTCAAGATTGTCTATTAGTGCTATTAGTTGCAGTCAGATTGCATTCCAAATACCTAAACACTTAAAATAATAAGTATTTGGCGCTGAATAACAAAGTTTATCAGAATTTTTCAGTCATTTTGCTTTTTTGTTGTGTACTATATGGATGCTACCTTCAGTCAACTGACCGAAATAATATGAGAGCTTTCAGTGTCCGTCTTGAAAAGAAACAACAGCAAAGAATTTCATTGCTTATAACGGAGCTTAAGAAGAAGCAACTAAACCAGAAATGGAGCCACTTCAAGGAAATGCGTGATAGTGACGTAGTTTGGCTTGAGTATTTCTGCTGCGCTCGCCTAGAAGTAAACGCTGGGCTAGGTTAGACATGAGGATGGCCAAAAACCATCCACTCTTACGGTGCTTCAAATAATCCGGAAAACAATACCGATGTTTTAACATCATCGACTTTTATTAAGATGATTATTGGCATTTAAAGAATCTACTGCCTAACGGTTTACTATAGTGTCAATTTTTTACGAATGTTCTTGCGGTTTAATTCGACTTCTGCACAGCCTGAACTCATTGGCGGTTTTGTCATCGCTTATCGATGTGTCATCCTTCGTTGTCCGGAAAGTGTGTGGATGTGATAAGTGTCACTATCATCAAATCGGGTTTCCTGTGCGTCAGTCTCATTCCTTTCCAGCTTATTTGGCTGTGAATGGACAGAGCTTGCCATTTGCTACATGACGACTACACTGAAGGTAAGAATTTCTGTAAATCGAGCACTAAAGAATCTCACGGACTTCCTCGATGTTGAACTCTCTTCGTGCAAGTCTTTATGTGCATTACTTGGTTGTTTTGCTTGAAAATATACTTCTTATTCCTTAGTGACGTGTTAGAACGGTGGACAGAGCACTTGAATGGAGGTTTTAAAAAACTATTCAATCACCTTTTCAAAGTATTTGCTGCTTATTTATTCATTTGGCATTCGTTTTATCGTCGCAAAATTCTCTACTTCACTAAACACACAACGGTTACAACGACAATACCTGCTAGAGAAGTGAAAAACACCAGACAAAGAGCAAGAACACTTGTCAACGTTGTTTAGATTATAGCGATAGCGAGCTGTCTATTGAAAACATCTATCTGCACATCTGTCATGAAGAAGGGCAAGAATTCGCCGGGGTAACTACATTTCATGGAATGGTAAGATGGAAAGCTGTGAAGTCAGCAATTCTTTGAAACGTTAGAGAGCAACCATCTGTCGGTCTTTATCAAGATGAATTTCCGTGTGTACGCATGTATTGCATCTTTTGTGTGTTGCATGTGCGTGTGTGTATATGTATGTATATGTGTGTGTATGTGTATGTGTACGTGTATGCGCATGTGTATGTGCATGTGTATGTGTGTGCATTTCAGCATATGGACTACTAGAAATCTAGAGACTTCATTTAGCATTCCATGAAGAATTTCACTTTCGTAAAGGAACACTTCAGATTCGTATTTTCACATCAAGAACATGGACGTCTCTGATATTTTGGGTACTTATCGTCTCTACATGCTTGATATTTTTCATGATATTTGTAAGTTTCTAGCCTTTTTTAGATCTACTAGAACTTCACAAAGAATTATTTTCCATATGCAAAACTTACATCGCTGGAAGAATTAATGTTATCGTTTTACAAATTCTATGTGGTCTGGAGTAAAACATGTTAGGACTTGTTTCATTTTCGCTCACTCGATTTTGTTAGAAAAACGCAGAATTCTTTCAACTTTTGAATTATTTCAACTTTCTTCACTGCTAAGTTTTTCATTGAAAGATGTAAAGGATAAAGTTCTCGGCGTTGATCAATCTCTTAGGGATGTGCCATGAATTCGAATTCATTACGCATCGTTGGAGGTGAATGAATGCATATCTGGCCTTTACAATGACTTACGGTGGCCTACCGATCTATCGCACCAGTGCTGCCAACTTCCCAGACAGGTCTGATACCAATTTGCCAAACCCGGAGGGATGAAAGCTTGGTGAGCCTGGAAATATGTGTGTGGCAGGGCACCATCAACCACCGTGCTACACTTGTCCTGTAGAAAGAAATAAGACTGCTTACAAGATCTAACCAATTCGATGTCTTCTTCACTTAGGAAAAAAGGATAGCTTCCAAAATGGCCACGTTTCTAACTGCATAATGTTTCAGAGTGGCTACATTCTTTCGAGTTACGCGAAAGCAAATACTTTTATGCGACGATACTTTGAGACCTACAATGTTCAGAATACATCCCTTTCAATCTGTGGATCTCCGGAGTAAGTGGAAGCGTCCAGTTTTTCCATCATTATCGTCCATCATCGTCATCATCATCACCGTAATCATCAGTATTGTTGTCACTATTACCATCATCTTTATCATTATTGTCTCCACCATCACCATAATCATCATCATCGCCATCGTCAACATCATAATCATCGACATCATCATCAACAACATCATTATCTTAACAACTAACTGAAATATTCTTATTGAAACGAACTTTAGGCTAGCTAGTCATCGTATTGATGCTATTCCTGCATTAAAATCTGTGTACAGAAAAGGTAACTGTCTCGAAATCGAAGCGAGGCTATCGAAAGGTCGACTGTCGATCGATTTTAGGCAAGGTACCTTATCAGTCCCTTCATTCATTTGTTTCTGCATGTTTTTTTGTATTCCCTAAATCCATTATTACATAGTTCTAGATATTACTACATCATCTGAAACAATGCTATTGATTTCCACTCAAACGCTTGATGTACATCAACCAATTTATCTAAGAAATCGATATCATCATCGGATATTCGTGGAGGCAACACAAGTGGGTAAGTGTATGGTTTCACACGGTTACCTATTATAGGAGAAAATTTACTAGCTCGTTTTTAAAAGATGATGAAAAAAGTTTGCTATAGGATGAATAATGTAACAGAGAAATGCGATCAATTCTTCACAACAGGCAATATCGCGAAGAAAAATCGCTGAACATAGCAATGTTCAGATTTCCCGATTGAATACGTCGCGCGTTCCATGTGTTAGCGACTTTTCCGAATTAACATGGATTCAAGCTCCGTTAGCTTCACACTTGGAATTTTATACACTGCAAGTATGAAGAGCTTCAATACAACGAGAAATAATAAAAGTAGATTCTCTTCCTTCCGAAAGCGATGCCACTTCAGGCCTGTGAAGGGATGCAGGTTGTTGAGTGGTTATTGAGAGAAAAGCACTGCGTTCCCGCCAAAACCCTGGAACAAAATCTTCCTGTGCTACCAGTTTGCAATGATACGAACATTTCGCTGAATCGTTCACTCCAAACAGGTTTGTGCGTTATCAGTTTTGTTCTCGTTTCATGAAACTATTAAAACTAAATAATAATAATGGATAAATCTCTCGGCGTTGATCGATCTCTGAGGGATACGCCATGGATTCGACTTCATTAAGAGGTGATTGAATGCTTGTGTGGCCTTTAGAATGACTCGCGGTTGCTTACCGATGTATCAAGCCAGTGCTGCTATCCTTCCAGATAAGTCTGATACCAATTTGCCGACCCCGGACGAATGGAGGGTTTGGTAGGTCATGGGCGTAGGGATCGGTTCCACGTGTGCGTTGCCTGGCGCCTCCGACCACTGCGCCACACGAGCCCTAATCTATTGAAATTGCCACACATCATTCTGCTCATATTGCAAATGAATGGAACGAACTTCTAAATATAGTTATTCGCTGACTTTTCCTCATTTGTTAACTGTGATTTTATTTGGAAAATTACATGTAGTACGATGCTTAGTACTACGTGGCTTGAATCCATACACGGTTAAAAGCTCATGCTATGAATGTCTGCATGCTACTTACAGTATACGTCAAGGTAACTGTTGTAAAAAAACTGTGAGTAAGGAAGGTGAAACAGTAATAAAGCGAGTGATTCTTTTTTACACGTGCTTCTAAAACTGGAACTGAGTCTGTAATGATTTGATAAATTATCTATATTGCTCCCTATCTACCAAACCTATCGAATTTCTTTGCACAGAGAGCTAATTTTCGACTGTCATCAAGTCTATCCCCGGACCCCTCTTACCTTTACCCCTGGGAAGGGTAATAGTGTGTTCGGTCCTCACCGCAGACAGCAGCGGTCCGGTGTTTTGCAAATATATCAGCAACGTTGTGATTATATTTCACATAATACACTGCCATTAAAAAAATAGTAGACATAAAATAAAAACTGATGTAATTGTCATGAACTTCTCGATTTCATATTTTCCTAGATTTTCCATGTTACGCACCTTGCTTTTCTTTACAATGGAAAACCACCACGTCGTATTCACGAACGTTGCGAGGGTTACGCATAACGCTGGAGATCAGTAACATGATGGAAGTATTCGTGGAAGTACAGAAAATGGCTATTACTGATGTCCTGTGTGAGTGGTCATCATGCTTGCAGTGATTAGTCATTCACTTTTTTGTTTAAAATTTAGCATTCATTGGTGGTGGCACTTCATTATTTCTGGGATGTAGCTGTGTGACATTAATGGAAACGTTTATTTTCCTTCTCAAACTGGTCATTCAATTAATTAATAAAGAAACACACGAAAGGATCGAACACGAAAATAGTAAGAGATGTTATACATCGATCTTCATGGTTGATTTAGTAGAAATATTTGAGCTTCGATCTTGATCTTGTATTCAAAGTCATGTATTTCCTCCCTTGTGGAGCTCTTGAACTATGAAGCTTCTAGCACCCTCAAAACAGGAAGTCATCCAGTCTTCTACGTGCAAGCAACGATTAACACTAGATTCTCAACTGACAGACCAGCTGTTATCAGGCTCGTACAATTGCAAATCAACAAGTAGTTGAGCTTGTTAATCCCGTGTTAGTGAAAAATTTTGTCCTTCTAGGACTCGAAGACGAAATTAGAGATGAAGTCACTTCTATAGCCATCTCCTCGTCTCCAAGAAAATCGACTCACTTTGTCCGGTTAGTACGACTTTCTCAAATTTGACGTTTCTTAATGTTTCAGTTTGTTATTTTGGTTTTTACTACATATTAAGCATGCTCAGACTTTTCAGCTTTTTGCAATCCAACAACGACAAAATCATTCGCAAGCAGTTTTATCAAAATCAGAAGCCACCATCGCCTTCAGAGTTGAAATCAAGGTAAAAGCACACCACGAACGTTCAGATGTTAGGATTGTTATCTAATTTTTTCTAATCAATTAGTAATTCTCAATGTCTTCGCATTTCCGCTGTTTGCATGGTTTTTTTCAGTAGCTTCTTCAATGAGCACGATTCACCCAGTATAGGTGAGCATTTTTCTTTAATCATATGCTTAATTTAATAATGAATAGTCTTTTACATTGTCGTCATTTGGTGGTAATAAGTTTAAAGAGGGTCTAGTTGTTTTATCAAGGTGCTAATTTTAGAGCGTTCATTGAAGAATTTGCCACTGAGTCAGCGGCTCACTTTTACTGGCACAGCGGATCACCGTGGGTTGACGAGGCAAAGTGCAGTTGAGATCGCAGATACAATGCTAGAACAAGTTTCTGCAATTTCCTTTTTTGTTTATATTGGCGTTAATTGTGTTTTTGACCAACGCTTTATCAAATGTTTTCCAGTACCTCAATGAACCCACTTACTCACGGTCATTCTGTGACGATTTTGACAGAAAGTATTCTACCCGAGTAAAAGGTGAGTGGACACACCTGCTTTTCGGTTCTATTCACTTTACTTTGGAGTTTATCAAAGAATATGATTATCATCTTATTCTTGTGAGCAGCTGCATTTTAACTCACTCGTGGCTAAGTGCATTAGATTCAATCCATCTTCAATAGAAAGTTTCAAAGTTTGGTCAACGTTATGAGACCGACTACCTTAAAAATTTCTAAAAGCAGGGAACCGGTAAATGGAACATATTAAACAGAATAAGACATACGACGAGGCCATAGCAACAAGTAGAGTATGCGTATTAAAGCCAATTTATGAAGCGACAAAGGCTAGAAGGGCCGAGCGGTCATCGTTGGGGTATAACGGACCGTAGGAATTGAGTTCAGTGCACGCAACGCGCATAGAGAATTGGACAGTTGCTGATGAAAACTGGTCACAAAGTGCTTCACGTGAAGGTCATTAAACAGCGGTAACCACCAGGAATATTAAGCCTGAATTTGATTGAAGATTCGAGAGTTGTCGGAATGTATAACATCAGTTTTTAACGTTTTGCTTTCTGCCTTCTATAATTTTCATGGCAGGTTACTAAGCGAAATACAGCCACAACGTTGCTGAGATATTTGCAAAACTCTGGACAGCAGGTGTCTATGGTGGGGAACGAACGCGCTATTATCCTTTCCGGGGAGTAACGCGTTCACCACCACACCATGCGGGTCCTTTGTTTCGCACGTCTCTCAGCTATTTCTATCGACCTTTTTGCCACAGCAATCGCCCATCAGCGGGGTTGATCTGGGGAGCGCAAATCAGCATAGAACCCAGTTAAGCTATGGCTGTAGTTGAAATCACAATGTTTAACGTTTTTGTTTTCCGCCTTCTATAATTTTCATGGCAGGTTACTAGAGAAATACAACCACAACCTTGCTGAGATATCGCGTTACTCCCCGAAAAGGACAATAGCGCGTTCGTTCCCCACCATAGACACCTGCGGTCCAGAGTTTTGCAAATATCTCAGCAACGTTGTGGTTGTATAACATCAGTTTTAAAAATATTGTGATGGAGACGATATCCCTGAAAACGAGCAGCTTGTGATGACTTGTTGTTATCAACAATGGGGACGAAATTTATTGGGTTTATTAAAGCTATACAAATTTGAAACAAGAGTCTCCGAACACGATCGAAATACAAAATTAAAAAGTATGACAATTGTCTGAAATGAAGAAACAGCAACGCAACCACGTTCTGGGATTCATTTCACGCTTTCACGCAAACAGATGGTTTATTTACTAAGTAAATTTCAAAGTGGAGCGAAAGATCAGATTTCCAAAATACGCAGTGGCATTATGAAAATGGTTGGATAAATATTAACCAATGAAGTGCTTCCAAACGCGAAATTTTCGGATTACATGGCTACCGTGATTGTTCGATATTCAATGGAACGAAATATCCACCACAGTTCTTTAAATCCTAGTGAAGTTACTTCATCACTCCATCACAAAAATTCGCCAAATATGCCAAGAAGACCATTGTCTTCACCGGCATTGACCATCTGAAATCGTCGAATTCTGCTGCACGGACTGTGCTCAATCACAAGTTGGGCTACCAAAACTGCAAGGGTTGATGAAGCTGTGGTTGGAAAAAAAAAGAATACCTCCCTCTCCAGTGCCAGTCCAACTGTGTCATCTAGTTCAATGGAAGAATATCTATTCAGAGCGGATTTATCTTCTTCTCGTCAGCCACGTGAGACTTTGTTCTTTTTTTTGTCGGAGAGAGGGGATGAGACGTGTAGGTATGATTGGAGGAAGTGGTGATGTCGAGATGAATGAGGAATGAACTTCTAGCTGCAATGACGAAAAGTGATAAATGAGCTTCTAAATTCCAGCAGCGATGTCGAGAGAAGCGAGCAATGAGCTGGAACACAAATATATAGTGATCATCTAATAATAACTGTTTGGAATGTGTGATAGTATAACAAGGTCGATTCTCTACTAGGTAGAGGATAGGCTTGAGAATCAACTTTCTTGTATCGATAGAACTAGCTGAGAGACAGGCAAGACGAAGGATCCAGATGGTGTAGTGGTGAAGTGCGCTGCTCCCCGGTAAGGACAACATCGTGTGTTCGTTCTCCACTGCATGCACCTGCGGTCCGGAGTTTTGCAAATATCTCAGCATTTCATACGAGTTATATTTCGCAACATACCTTGCCGCTAAGAAGAAAAAGGCAGTAAATAAAAAGGGTTAAGATTGTAATCAACTTTCATTTAGCATTTCCATGAGTAGTGTACAACATTTTGTTTTTTTTCATGAGCCTACAATCAGTTATTATGACATTTCTATTCGGCTGTTTCTCCTCCTTTGTCTTCTTCGAAGCCATGGTGATTTGAGTCGATTGTTCACAGCCGTTAGTTGCGGTGCACCACTACAGAGCATTCGTAAAGATGTGACTACAAAGACCAGGATCGCAAAGACGAATCTTTCTGGAAAATCGATTCAGATCATGCGCTCTGAAGAAGTGGGAGACGCCGATACGCTAGCATCTTCAAATGCAAATGTAAGCTCGTGAATAGAAGGAAATATTGTAGGCAGTAGTCCCTGCACGCGTTTATACAACCATACTTGTAATTGAAGGAATTGTACCTGAAAGAAGACAATCCCTCATTCATTGCACTCGACGGACGTCTTGACAATCGATTGCTACATTCTCAAGCAGCTTGCTTACTAACTGTTAACAAATCTTCAACAACTAAACCGGTGTTGAGTATCCATCAAGAAGGCTCACTGTCTCCAGTATAGAATTTAACTGTAATGGGATAAGTACGCTTAAATTCTGTTGAGAAACTATCTAGGTTTATTTTTATTAAATCACGGAATTTGAGCTAAGATATAGATGTGTAGTTGAACTTAAATGGTAGGATATCACAAGACATTTGCAACAACCTAAGCAATCGAGTTCCTTATATTTTGTCCTGCTTGTAGAGTAGCGTTAAAAAGCAACGAAATATCTATGGTTGGTTAGTGTAGAGTTCTAAAAATGTTAAGGTGAAATCTTTAGTGATCATCGACATACACTCAAAAAAACGCAAAAGTTTTTTGCCTACTGATCCGCTTGGTTAGCGTCCCATCTCAACGTTCCGTGGACAACTATGACTTTCCCCTAAAAGGTGGAAATCAAGTAAAATCAGAGCTGTTTTTGAGTATAAAAAGGTTGCAATCAACTGTATATGTATAGTGAAAATAAATACGTTGTGTTTATAGTTCGTCGCATTTCAAGTGGTACTTCCCGCGGATCAGTGTCGACTTCACGGACTAAACTCCATATCGTCGAGCATCCACGCCGTCGTAGTCAGATATATAACAAGTTTATGTCAATGAATGATTTCTGATGATTATGTACATTCAATACATGTAATAAAGAATTAGGTAAAGCGGAATCGACGATACATTTACAATGCATTTGATTTCGGCTGTACGATGAACCTTAAATTCAAAAGTGTGTATAAACTGTGGTACCAGGTTTCTCCAAGAGCATAAGAACAGTGACGTAATAAGTCAGTGTTTTTTCTTAAGAAGCGACGAGGTTGTCAATGACAAGATTTTTTCAACACTGGCCAACGTTTCTGCACCTTCGTCTTCTTCAAAGCCTAGAAATGTCAAATTGACACGTGATGTATCCATTCAAAAACTTTTGTGGTCTCATCAGAAGGAAGAAA